TATCCATTCATGGTTAGGCACCCGATGAAATAAGATTCCACCCAATAGTTTGGGAAACACATTTTAATTTTTTTTCAAGGGATAAACTTTTTTAGTTGGAAGTTGTGGTCTTTGAAATCGTTCTGTTCTAGGAATGCATTTTAAATGAATATTTTTACTTAAGTAGTCCCTATAATCTAGTTAATGGGACATTGATATTAATGTAGAATGTACGCTGTTACTTTTCTTTTTCTTTTTTTCATTATAAAATAGGTATGATTATATTATCCCCAAACGATGATGAGATCAAGCCTTCAACATTAACCTGACGCTGTTCAATTCCCAACGCTCCTGCCAGCTTCCATTTCCACCGCGAGCTGTTGCAAGTGGATGAAAACGGTTCCAACTGCGGGAAACGGCTGCAACTGCGTGAAACGGTGACAACCGTTGACTTCATCGGAGCAAAAATACCAACCACCCAGCTGACTATTCTCAGCTGCAGCCCCTCGCGAGTGCAGGCGTCACATCGGAGGCACCTGACTGGGAGCGGGTCACAAAACTGCGCGGTGACGCGACAAGGCGCAGAACCGCCCGCGCCGGGGCGTTCCCACAGGATTTCCCGGGTTCTAACTCTCCAACTCGGGCTCACGGTGTGTCACATCCCCCGGGGAGAACGTGAGGGACAAAGCGAGCAGGAAAGGTCAAAAGCTCTCAAACCTCGAGGTAGAGATCGCAAAGCGGGCCGCCGGGCATGGTGCCCACACCACATGCCGCCGGCTGACACACTGACGGCAGCCTAACGCCCGTTGACTCCTCCCTCCGAACCCAGACTCTCTCCTGTAACTTTTCCTAATATTTGGTAAACAAGACAATTTTAAAATCAACAATATGTAAAAGTTATAAAAATGATAACTATTATCAGTATTTAGTCCCATCAGTATTTTAAAATTTTTATTTCCCAGTATTTTCATGAATATAGGTATTCATTTAGGTGTTAGAGAAGTCTTTATTTAAAGGTATGACCTGTTTAGAAACCTGTAATTTAGAATAGTCAGGCTAGAGGATTATGTTTAACCTATGTAAGTATTTAATTGCTTTAGGCCAATAAAATATCACCCGTTAGTATTGCCATCCGAAGCCAGAAAACACACCCCATATAAATACCGTCATAGCAGCGGACTTTAGCTTCCCATAGATACCAGTGGATACATTTGGCAGACAAAAGAGTCAATACGGAAAAAGTAGTCTTAAATGAGTGATGAGACAAGACGGGTTGGATATGTTTATAGCAGAGATTATCAACCGGAGTGTCACACAGGCAAACCGGTGCGCTGCAAACTTTTTTAGATCAAGCAACACCTGGCTGTTTACTCAATAGCATGGACTACATTATTCATTGATTGTCGAATAAAATGTGACAAAGGCCAGCACAGTAATAGCTGTGTGGTGTACATGAATCAAAATCAGACTTTTTTTTTGGAAGATTGGCAAATATATAATCTCAGAATTTCAGTAATTACTCCATGTGTGCCATGAGATAAAAAATGTTGAAACCTCTGGTTTTAGAGCTTTTTATCCCAAATCAGAAGAAAATGCAATCTGGACAAAATGTAAACAGAAGGTCCTCTAAACCTAGAAACAATGTCTGCTTCATCTTCTTTCGTAATGACCATTGAGAGAGAAAAAACATCTTATATATATTTCCCATCGATACACCTCCTCAATATTCCTCACTACAATACCAGAAAATGGAACTATTGTCTAGATGGAATTATGTTCTTTGAATGATGAGGGTTTCATAGTATGTCCTTGTACAGAACAAATTCATAAAGCCCCTGGTCCAGATGAGCCAGTCCACAAAATATCAGCACATACATATACATACGAATGCTCCATGGGTATGTCAGAAAGTAAAGTATTAGAATATTGACCATCTTGTTTCTGTAATGATTTTGTCAGTCCTTTTTGGTGGCACATGCATAGGAACTGATGTTTACCACCTTGTACAAATTCAGCACAAGACAATGGAGAGTAAATGTGGAGCTTTCATTTCATTTTTTAATTTTTAAATATATTTTATTGATTTTTTAAAATTGATTTTTACAGAGAGAAAGGGAGAAGGATAGAGAGTTAGAAACACCTATCAGCTGCCTCCTGCACACTCCCCACTGGGGATGTGCCTGCAGCCAAGGTACATGCCCTTGACCGGAATCGAACCTGGGACCCTCGAGTCCGCAGGCAGACGCTCTATCCACTGAGCCAAACCAGTTAGGGCTGGAGCTTTCATTTTAATGTCTGCTATCCTGCTATCCATAGAACTTACAGTGACAGCTTGGAAAACACTCCAGGGACAGCTCAGGCCTATGAACATGCCTGCGGTCATTCTGTGAATATACAAAATAACTTCTGATGCAAAATATTAAAAAAATTTTAACTGCAAATCTGCCATGGTCTGTGGGGTTTCTCTAGAAAAAAATGACCAACATCCAGTTACATTCAAGTCACTGAGAATATAATCTGTCTAATACGGGCTGAGTCCATCCTAAGAAAGAAGTTAATGAGGTAACACTGTGAAATTCTTAAGCATACAAATAAAAATCAAAAAAGATCATTCCAGTTATAAAGGACACAGAAGCCAATTTGTAATTGCCAATAAATATTCATATTCAAAACTATAGGATCCAGCATGAAAACAAGAATAGTGGTCTACCTACTTCATGAATATAAAGCAAAATTTTGCCAAATTCTGATGTCAGTGATTGTATTAGTAAAATTCCAAACTACCGAACAGAAGCTACAGGGGCCAGAAGGGCTGATGTGGGAGAGGAAGAGGTTTAGATGCCATTGTTATAGCACAGCAGAAAAGAGTATCAGCTGAGCAGAAAAATGAGGGGAAAAATTAACAGAGAAGAATATGAAATAGGAAATGAAAACAACAAACTTATTTTTTTGAGTTCAGTTAAGTAGTGCACCTCAGAAACAGGTGCCCTCCCTCCAATGTAAAGTTTATGGCAATTATGCATCCCGGGTAAGAAACATCTCCTGCCTCGTTCTAGAACCACACTGGTTTTGGATTTGAGAGAAGGGAGAGGGAGAGGAAGAGGGAGAGGGAGAGAAACAGCAATGATCATGCAGAATTATCGATCAGCTGCGTTTGAGTGAACTCTACTGGGTATCTAGGCCACAAACAGGGCATGAGCTTTGATCAGAAAATGAATGCTGACTTCCGGGTTCATGGGTCCACGCTCTACCAATGAGCAACACAGTGTAGGCATCCCCACTGCTTATCCAGGTCACACACAGTACATTTACAGGTGTTCTCTCCAGTATGAATACTCTTATGTTCAGCAAGACAACAAGGATAATTAAAGGTTGTGCCTCATTCTACATATTTGTAAGGCTTTCCTTCAAAATGACTTCTCTGAGGTTAAATAAGACTTCATTGACAAGGATTAATCTCACAGATCACATTTGCAAGGTTTCTCTGTTCTGATGTACAGAACAGAATAAATACTGACTAAAGGTTTCCTCACATTCTTTTCATTTTTCAAAATATATTTTTATTGATTCAGAGGGGAAAAGAGAGGGAGCGATAGAAACATCAACGATCAGAGGGAATCATGGATCAGCTAGCTCCTGCATACCCTCCAATGAAGATTGAGTCTCCAACCAGAGCTTATGCCAGTCAGGGAATTGCACTGACATTGTGGTTCATACATCAAAGGTAAACCACCCAGGAATGCTAGCCAGTACTTTCTCACATTTTCTGCAGTGTAAAGATTTCCTCCACTATACACATCTCTGTTATTCACTACATTTTGAGATGTAGGTACAGGCTCTTGAAAGCTCTACATTTGCAAGTTCTCTCTTCAGTATGAAGTGCCTTATGTATAGAAATAAAAGTGTGCATTTTAATGGGTTTTCTACATTTTTCACATTCAGAAGGCTTCTTCCCATTTAGAATTCTGTAAGCTCAGTAAGTACTACCTGCTGGTAAAGGATTTATGACGCTCCTCACATCTTTAATACTTCTCTCCACTATGGACTCTCTGATGTGCTGAGGTTTGAGGTGTTGCCAAAGGATTTGCCACATTTTCTGCACATATAAGGCTTCTCTCAAGAATGAACTCTGTGATGGTAAATAAGGGCTGAGGAATGCCTGTAGGCTTTGCCACATTCTCTTCCTTTATAAGGCTTCTCTCTAGCGTAAATTCTCTGATGCTTAGTAAAGTGTGAGGACTGGCAAAAGGCGTGGCCACAGTCTGTTTAGTAAGGTGTGAGGACTGGCTAAAGGCTTTGCCACATTGTTGGCATTTGTAAGGCTTCTCACCAGTATGAACTCTTCAATGGCGTGTAAATTTAGAGGACTCACTGAAGGCTTTGCCACATTCATTACACATATAAGGCTTCTCACCACTATGAACTTTTTGATGGCGTGTTAAGGTAGAGGAGACCCTGAAGGCTTTGCCACATTCCTTACACACATAAGGTTTCTCTCCACTATGAACACTATGATGACGATGAAGGGATGAGGAATAGACATAGGCTTTGCCACATTCATTTCATTTATAAGGCTTCTCTCTAGTATGAAATCCCTGATGCTTAGACAAGCTTGAGGAATGCCTAAACACTTTGCCACATTCATTACAGTTATAAGACTTCTCCCCGGTATGAAATCTCTGATGGTAATTAAGAGATTTTGCGGTACTGTATCCTTTGCCACATTCTCTACATTTATAAGGCTTCTCCCCAGTATGAACACTGTGATGACAATTAAGAGACTGTGCTGAACTAAATCCTTTTTTTAAAAAAAATATATTTTATTGATTTTTTACAGAGAGGAAGGGAGAGGGATAGTCAGAAACATCAATGAGAAACATCAATCAGCCACCTCTTGCACATCTCCTACTGGGGATGTGCCCACAACCCAGGTACATGCCCTTGACTGGAATCGAACCTGGGACCTTTCAGTCTGCAGGCCGACGCTCTATCCACTAAGCCAAATCGGTTTCGGCCTGAACTAAATCCTTTGCCACATTCTCTACATTTATACAGCTTCTCTCCACTATGAACGCTCTGATGCAAAGTAAGTGTTCAGGACTGTCTAAACGCTTTGCCACATTCTGTAGTTGATCGTCCATCTATGAACTGGAAAGTCACAGTTCGATACCTAGTCAGGGTACAATACCAAGCTGCAGGCTCGATCCCAAGTACGGGGTGTGCAGGAGGCAGCCGATCAATGATTGTCTCTGATCATTGATGTTTCTATCTCCCTCGCCCTCTCCCTCTCTGTCTGACATAAATAAATCCTTTATAATAAAAGTGGGATATGCAAATAGCTCAAAGGGCAAAACAACCAACCAACCAAAGTGTAATATGCTAATGACATGCTAAGGCTGCTCAACTGCTCGCTATGACATGCACTGACCACCAGGAGGCAGTCAACAAGTCACTATGAAGTGCACTGACCACCAGGGGGCAGATGCTCCGACCGGTAGGTTAGCTTACTGCAGGGGTCAGGTCAAATGGAACTGAGTGAGATGGGCTGGACATGCCCTGGAGCCCTCCCGCAGTCATTCCCCGGCCCGATTGCAGCAGTGGGGTCCCTCA